TTCAGTCCCGATCAATTTTACTCATTAATTTGACTCTTGAGTTGGAACAAAGTGGGTGTCTAGGTTTTTGCACCATCTCTGTCTGACAGGAAGGAGCAAAGAAGGACAGTTGTAGACACCCATTTGTGTTTGAGATTGGTTGATTATGTCTGGGGTCAATTGGACCATATTTCATTTTTTTTGTTATTATCATATTAGTATATTGTATAGTATTATATTATTATTATTATTATTATTATTATTATTATTATTATCATCATTATTTTTATTATTTTTATTTCTTTCTTCCTTCTTTCCTTTTTAGATTTCTAGCAAGAATTATGAAAATGGAAACTGAATCAGCCATATCAAAATCTCATATTTTTAATCAAGCCTAAATAATTGACCAAATTCAATTGAGACCAAAAGTCAGATTCCTAAACTAAGGCTCGAGCAGAATCAAATTTTAGGATTCAGACCTAGATTGATTTTGTTTGTTTCCTAAATTTGTACTAAGGTTGCCTATAATTGAACTAAAGATCAAAAGAACAAATAGAGGGAGGATTAACAGGGGTGAACTGGGGAATTGGTGAAACAGTTGCAATTCTAGCGAAATTTTTTGGGCAGTATTGGGTTTTGGAATTCTATTATCGATTTGAAGTTTTTGGGCGTGATTTAAGGATTCTGGGTTTGATTTTAGGTTTATGGGTTTTGATTTAAGTTTTTAGAGAATTTTTGAAGAAATCTTGGGCAAATTTGGGAGAAATCTAAAAAAGTTTAGAACTTTTGGGTTTTTTTCTAGAAAACATGAATTTTTCATGAATGCTTGAAGTTTTCGATGATTTTCTTTTGGGATATGAATTTTTCAATGAGTTTTCCAATGAAATATGAATTTTTTGATGAGATTTTTCAAAAATTGACAAGCATTTCTAATTTCCAATAAAGTTTCTGAGAAGCGTTTAGAGAGAAATGAAAGAATTTTTGGGTTAGAGAGAGAGAGAGGATGGAGCTTTTGAAGAAAACGTAGGCAACTTGACTTATATACCGATCCAAAACAATGCTATTTTGGCAGCGTAGGATCCGTGCCTTGACTCGTTAACCCGCATTCTGACCCGACCAAACCCGATCACAGGTTTTTTTTTTCCATTTTTTTTATTTTTTTATTTGATTTGATTGTTTTATTTTTTTAACTCATTTTAGTTTTAATTTTTATTTTATTTTTGTTTTATTTTTGAGAAATTTTATTTCTGCTATTTTATTTTCGAAAGTAAATAAATTTTAGAAAAAAAAAGCTTTTTCAAATAAGTTTAAAAAAAATCTTTTCAAATAAGTCTTCAAAATAATAATAAAAAAAACAAAAAAAATTTATGTTTTAAAAAAATATACTCATAAAGACAAAAAAAAAAAAATCCTTTCAATAAAAAAAATATAAAATCTTTTTTAAATAAAAATTCTTACCAAATAAATTTATGAATTCTATCAAAATATTGAGGATTTTCTTGGATTTAATTTTTAAATGAAATTCATCAAACTATTGAAAAATTTCATAAATAATTTTTTTTAAAAATAAATAAATAATAAAAAGATAATTTTTATTCTATAAACTATTGGAAGATTGCTTCAAAGTAAGTCTTACTAAACTATTAGTAGACTTTACTTTTTTTTAAAATAAAATATTTTAATAAATCTTACAACAGAGCCTCATCAAAAGTGGGATATTAGTCTTCATTAATACTTCTAAGATGAGAAAATCATCTTAAATTATTACCAAACTATTAAGATAATTTTAAGATATATTTTCAATATTAAATTATCTGATAAATCACAAATATGATCAAGACTTGGATAATCTAAAATCTAACTGGTACAATTCTTTAGATGACCGTTGTGAGGGTGCTATAACCTTTTCAACGCATAACCGTACTCTCAAACTTAAACTTTAATTTCATAGATTAGATTTGATTAGGTGATCAATCACAAATAAAAAAGATTGGTGACGATTCCTCTTATTTATGTTTAGTGATAAATCTACGAATTTATATGTTATGACAATATACATTCAATTTAAGTTAATAATTTTGTTTATAATTTTACCTCTATGAAAGTACAATTACAAAATTTATCATTTGCATTAGCAAAATATTTTATAAAATATTTTAATTTTATTGTTCTTATGTTAAATATATCAGCAAATTTGAAAGTACCACAATAAAATTTAATAAAATCGAAATACAAAAATAAGATAAAATATTAAATCATAACATTGTGAAAAAGTTTTACTTTAGTGCCTGTTAAATTATAATGAGCATTGATTTTGAAATTTTAACTAATTTGTAATTGAATTTTGGTATGAACTTCATTTGAAAGCGCTATAATTTATTTTCATTACATTTCAACACATCTACATCAATAGAAGAAGAATATGATTATGCAATTGAAATGTGTCATAATATGTTAGCTTTCTTTTCTTTTCATTTACAATTATTAAAGATCAAAATTTCAGATTGATTATAAAAAAAATATGTAATTTTAATCTCCCCTTTTCTTCTTCAAAGAAAAATTGCTTGTCTCTCCGAATTCTCAACAATCAAGTCAAATGATTCCGCAGAAAAAGTTGACTTGATATAAAACAAAATAATAATAATAATAATAAAGCCCTTTCCTTTACATAAAAGATATTAATTTTTTTCTCCCATTTACATAAAAAATATAGTGGTTTTTCCTTTTCCTTCTCTTGAATCTCGATCTCTTTAAGGGAATTTTTTTGTACCTTTTCAACAATCATTTTTGAGATCCATTTTGATTGATTTTAACTCTTGAGTCTTGACAAAATTCAATTATTATTTAGCTCATAAAATGAAAAAAAGGAAAATCCTTAACATATTGCAACATGCATGTTTTCCACTTTTCTTTTCAAAAAATTAATCATATTTTATCTCCAATAAACTTCCATCTTATTGTCTATATCATTTGTCCGTAACCAAAAAAAAATATATATTTTATTTATATTTTAGAAAATTCATGTTTCAAATCTAAGTAGGTGAATAATATCCGCTCCACATGATTAATTTTCAAACTTCCCACATAATTTTCAATTATATATACTGCAAGGTAAAATATTTCATTCAAATGGGCCCCGCACCGACGAAGATTTCCAGACTCTATTAATCATGTGGCTCCCGCAGCATGAGATTATATGATTTCCAAAATTATGCACTTCTTTCTTACCCCTTTATTTGTCTTTTAATTATTAAAATGACCTCTTTCACACACACGTATATATTTCAACCCATCTTTTCCAATTTTTTTTTCAACTTAAGAAATAAGTAGGTTTGAGGACATAATGCCTTGATCCACTGTTTGGGATTTTTGGATTTCTCCATTAATTTCTTTTATACTGCCATCAAAAACTATATAAAAAAGAGAGATAAATATTTGTTTCTTACCATTTTTGGCACCAAATTTACCCATAGTACAATCCATATAATTAACTTCTAATAAACTTCGATCCAATTGATGAATGCATTTTGTAAAATTTGATGCTAATTTAGAAAAGTAATACGTTTATAAGATTTCCTTAAAAAAACATGCTTGTGAAGTTTTTGACGTATGCAAATGGTCAAAGACTCAAAATCCTAGTTTGAATAGATTTTTTTTTTTTTTTACAAAGTCATCAAAACCAATTCAACGGGAGTGAAAAATATTCCTTTAATACGATTAGTACAGCTAATTTACTCATAAAATTTAATCTCAAGAACGTGCACTTAAAATGAGCTTTGAAATTTAATTATAAATAAATGTATCTGTAAAATTATTATCGGAACAAAATTACTGAAATGAATGTGTGAAAATATTGAGAGATTTGTGAAACGGTAAATGGCTCAAAAGTCAGATAGTTGTTGTTAATTGCTGCGAGTCCTTTACCTTGCATACTCTTATCAATTACCGTATGGGACATTTGCTGTCCAAGGAAAGTAGGTAAAGCCAGCCAAACCAAAGGCAACTTAAACTCTATTTGGCTAATTGTTTGTGCCAATTATGCTGCTTCAAGAGCAGCCTTATCTGCCAATCACAACAACTTTCTGCCCTTTTTTTTTTTTTTTGGCATCCATGTTAACAGAAATAGTAGGTGCCCTTCGCAATTAAAATAATTTCCAAATGATGATAGAATATTAAACAAAGCCAATTATGCTTTTCTCGTTTAACTTTGAGATTATACTTGACAAATCCTCCAGCACAAGTACATGCATTAATGCTTTGTTTGACTATTTTGGAGGTAATAAATTTTCCTTTCCCTTATAGTCAATAATATAATATTTTTCTATATTTTCTCTTTTTTTTTTTTTTTTTTGGTAAGGCAATTCTTCTACCCAATTGCATGAAATTGAGAAGCCCATTCTAATTCATGCAGAGAAAAAAAAAATGGATCATTTACGAAAAGAAAAGGTAAGTCCTTTCAATCCAATCACACTCAAAGCCAAAGATGAAAGAAACAAAAGAATTAAAAAAAAAAAAAAAAGGTGAACCATTGTGTTTTTAATAGGAATGGATTTATTTTTATTACGGGTCAACCCATGTATTAGCAACAGGTTGAAAAACACATGCAATACATAAACGATTCATTTTATAATAAAGCAGAAATAAATAAGTACCGGACACCACTGAATAAAACAACTGTCAAATACATGAATAATACTAGTCTACATTATTCTTTATCTTTTCTTCAAACGTGGAGACTAGGCTCCCTTCTCTGCTCAATCTCTCTCACTCTGTCTATTTCTTCAAACCAATTTTTGTCCCTTAATTTGGATCACACTCTTCTCTTCTCCTGCAAGAACACATTGAGCTTTTCATTAAACTGATTAAATTCAAAAAAGGAAATGTGACATAATGCAGCTTGAATGCAAAAAAATATTTATGAAAAATGGTGTTATGTACTAAAAAAAAAACTAAAGAAGTAAATGTTACCTTGGTACGGTTAAAACCGTAGCTTAGTAGTGGTGAGGAGGAGGAGGTGATGATTAGACATAATGGGGTGGTGGTGGTGGGGGAGACTTGTATTTATATGGCTCCTCCTTAGGAGGAGGAGGAGACTTGTATTTGTAAACTGGAGGAGGGGGCGGGGGAGACTTGTATTTGTATGGCTCCTCCTTAGGTGGAGGAGGTGGTGGGGGAGACTTGTATTTGTATGGCTCGTCCTTTGGAGGAGGAGGGGACTTGTATTTGTAAACTGGAGGAGGTGGTGGAGGAGACTTGTATTTATATGGTTCCTCCTTAGGAGGAGGAAGAGGCTTGTATCTGTATGGCTCCTCCTTAGGAGGAGGAGGAGACTTGTATTTGTAAACTGGAGGAGGGGGCGGGGGAGACTTGTATTTGTATGGCTCCTCCTTAGGAGGAGGAAGAGGCTTGTATCTGTATGGCTCCTCCTTAGGAGGAGGAGGAGGAGACTTGTATTTGTAAACTGGAGGAGGGGGCGGGGGAGACTTGTATTTGTATGGCTCCTCCTTAGGAGGAGGAGGTGGTGGGGGAGACTTGTATTTGTATGGCTCCTCCTTTGGAGGAGGAGGGGACTTGTATTTGTAAACTGGAGGAGGTGGTGGAGGAGACTTGTATTTGTATGGTTCCTCCTTGGGAGGAGGAGGGGGAGACTTGTATTTGTAAACTGGAGGAGGTGGTGGAGGAGACTTGTATTTGTATGGCTCCTCCTTAGGAGGAGGAGGAGACTTGTACTTGTAAGGTGGTGGAGGATAATGCACTGGTGGAGGTGGTGACTTGTAGTAGTACTTAGGAGGTGGAGGAGGAGATGAGTAAGGATTGTCGGCAGTGGTTTTAGAAGGCAAGCTGAGAGACACTGCGAGCACTAGAAGAGTGAGAAAGAGAGAGGTCGGCCCCATTTTTCCCAACTTTACTACAAAGTTGGTTTTGGTTATGCTCGTATGCAACCTCTTCACACCCTTTATATAGATTTTGTTTTTACCTTCTAATCATCATAAAATGGACTTAAATTTTTTTAACCTTTGTCAAACGACACAATAAAAAAAATTAATAAATAAAAATATTGCAAATGGTTCACGTTTGAACTGGTTTTCATGAATGTAAGAGGAAAAAGCTGGAGAGGTTCCAATCGTTGAATTTGCCAGCTTGGGATTGTGGTTGGTAGCTAAGCAGATAATAAATAATTAAAGAAATAATACTGTCGTCAATACTACTATAATTTTTAACTTAAATGAAATGCCATAATTCAAATAGAAAATTTTCTTGTATTAATATATGTACAACTGCTTACAATGCATAGTCGTGCATGTTGATGTGTGTGTTTTGCTTATACATGTTTGAAATTCTAACCTGCTTTGAAGCAGCAATACTCTAAAAAATATAATATCATATCTTATGTTTAAACAATATCTCAAACCTCCATGATATTTTTGGTATTTTATTGAAACAATTTTTTGAAATATTCAATTTAATTTATCTATGCTATTGCAAATGTAATTATAGCATATCTTATCCTTATTCCTTTTGCAGTGTGAGGTGTTTCTTCCATACAGAAAGTCGTTGGCTGACAGTGAATAAGGAAGAAGCTGGTTATATGTGTGGTTTTATAGATATTAGAAAGTAAAAGTAGATGAATAAACGAGGCCGCAATAGTGTACTCAAATCACTGCTTCAAAATAATAATAACGAACCTTCAAGAATCATGTGTTCTTAAACATTTTGTACTTTTGCACCATTATGGTATTACTTCTAGATTATTCTTGATATTTTCTTTGCCTGAAGCATGATTTTTTGCCTTGTTTTAATGATTCTACTTTTTTTCTCCCTTTCCCATGTTGCCATGTAGAACTTTTGCACCGAGGCAAAAGCTAATGATGATCAACACTGTATAAATTCTTTTTCTTCCAAAGGCCTTTTGATGATGGAGGAAGTGAAAAGGTTGAGCCATCACATAAATGGTACTATATGTATAATATTCTTAGTTCTGCGTCCCTTTCCCTTTTCAGTATTTGATCCTAAATGATTTTTTCTTATCATTTTTTCAATATATAACATTTTTTATCCTAAATGACTGAATTGTTTGTTTTCTTAATAAATTTATTAATTATTGCTCCACTACCTTCTGCAAGTAGAAGCAGGGATCATCCAGTTGACTCTGAACCTTGCTCTAAGCTTGAGGACCTAAATTTGGATGTCGGAAAGAATTCCAAGACTGTAGAGGATAGATATGGCATGGAGAACTTTTCAACAAGGCACCTTGCTGAAGATTTGTTAGACATCTTTTCCCTTTCTTTGAAACTTCAGCAGTTTTTTTGTCTATTTGTTAACTGGGCTATGCGTGAGGAGATTTTCCTACTCTCAGGGATGAGAACCCCTGTATTTTTGTGTGGATGAGTGGGGGCAAGGGTGTGTGCATTTGGCTCTTCCTCTTTGAGAACTACTTCATGTTGGGCTTGAAGCAACAAACATAATAATACAAAAATAATATATTGCAATAAACCTACAATAATTGTCTAAAACGTAAGAAAAATAAAGTACACTAAGATTTACATAAAAAACCTCCAGTGTCAAGAGAAAAAACCATGGACTATCAGAAAAATCTCTACTATTAAATAATAATATATAAAGTTTTCATCTAGCTAAAACTAGAGCTAATCAACAACTAGATAGACAATTAGATAAATCTCACTAAATAGATTACTCAACAAATACATTCTAGATTTATTCTTAGAGAGTTTCAAACCTAATCTTTACCGTTCAGAATGTAGAACTCTGACTTATAAACCTACTGACAAAGTTTCAGTTCAATTGGACTACGGATCGACTTTTGTTCAATCAACTCTCTTTTTTTTTCTTTTCTCTCTATTTTTCTGGCTTCCATTTTTCCCTTTTTGGTGCCACTCTGTTTCACACCAAAAAAACATAGCCCTCACTTTTCTTTTAATATGTAAGGCTCTTTTAGGGTCAAAGGTAACAAGGCTTTAAGCCTTTTAATTGGCCAAAACCAATGGGTTGGATCCTACACTTTCTAACAATCTCATCGTCCAACCTTATTAAAAAGAGATTCATTACCATAGCAGTTTTATTTGGAACTTACCTTAGCTAAAGAACTCATTCCAGTCAAGTTATTGCAAAGCACAAGCTTTTTCCTGGGAAGTGTCTTAGTTAACGTATATACTGCATTCTCATTAGTATGGACTTTCTTCAACAGCATCTATTATTCCTCAATAACCAAATGTAACCAGTAATATCTAACATTAATGTGCTTTGTTCTAGCATGGTACATGGCATTCTTACTCAAATTGAAAGCACTTTTCCTATTACAAAACACCACATATTCTTTCTGATTCAACCTTAATTCAAGAAGAAAATATTTCATCCAAAGTATTTATTTACCTACTTCGGTTGCTACTATATACTTAACCTTTATAGTTGACAAGATAACACACTTTTGTAACTTGAATTGTCAAGACATAGCTCCTCATACAAAAGTGAACAAATACCCTTAAGTAGAATTTCTACCATTAAGATTACCTATCATGTTAGCATCAGTAAACCCTTCTAAAACTAGTTGTGAAACTTTATAATTCAAATAAATTTTTGAGATGCCCCTCAAATATTTGAAAATCCATTTCATTGCTTTTCAGTGAACCTTTTTCGGATTAAAAAGAAATCTGTTCACTACACTAGCTACATGAGCAGTGTCAAACCATATGCAAACCATAGGATACATCAAAAAACCAGTTGCAGAGGAATAAAAAATACTAGACATGGCTAGTTGCTCTTTCTTAGTCGCTGGACAAGATTTTTTGCTCAGTTAAAAATGGTTGGCAAGTAGACTGCTAACTAATTTTGCATGTTGCATGTTAAATCTATTAAGCACTTGTTCAACATACCTTTCCTATAACAACCATAGCTTTTCAGCTTTCCTATTTCGGATAATATCCATACAAAAAATCTACTTTACTGGACCTAAATCCTTCATGTCAAAAGACTTAGATAATTATTCTTTCAACCTGTGAATCATAACAGCATCTCGTGCCATAATCAACATATTATTAACATATAATAAGAGAATAATAAAGTTACCATCAGAAAATTTTTTGACAAACACACAAGAATCCGTTGTAATTTTTTTATAGTTATGGCTCACCATAAAAGAATCAAACTTTTTATAACATTATTGCGGAGCTTGTTTCAAGCCATACAAGCTTTTTTTCAATTTGCAACCTATGTGTGGTTTTCCTTTCACTTCAAAACTCTTAGGCTGATCCATGTAAATGTCTTCCTACAAGTCACTAAGCAAGAATGTAGTTTTAACATCAAATTGTTTAAGCTCAAGATTAAAATTAGCTGCTAATACCAAGACCACTCGAATGGAACTCATCTTCATAATTAAAGAGAAGCTCTCATCAAAATTGATGACAGATTTTTGAAAAAAACCTTTCACCACCAATCGAGCTTTATACCTCACTAGTTTGTCACCATCTTTTTTCAACTTGAACATCTATTTATTCTTCAACAACCTCTTCTATTTTGAAAGTTTAACAAAATCATATGTACCATTTTTTTGTAATGATTTTATTTTTTCTTTCTTTACTTTTAACTAGTACTTTTTATCTAGAATAATTTGCACATCTTGGAAGCTCTCTAGCTTCCTCTACTCAATACTTTCTGGTGGAGAAGACTGTTCACCCTGTTCAATACTCTTAAGTATAGAAGATTCTCCCCTTACTCAAAATTGATTGCATATGGCTCATCACTAACTGTTGTTAGCTCATTACTATCCCCAAGTTCTATCTCTTGCTCATTTTTACCATCGTGACTCTTTCTTGTAGAACCCTTATAGGTGTTAAAATATCACATTCAATAGTAATCCTTGTAGTCTTCTCATTTTTCTCAAGATTTGTTATGATTTTGTTTTCATGGAAGACTACAACTCTACTTCTTACTGTCGTAATGGTTTTAGGACCGCCAGACGTAAAAATGAGTTTTAAAATCGAGAGAAATAAAATGGAGTCGTCACCAATCTTTGTTAGGGTGTGATTGGCCACCCAAAAGTTTTTCTTTTTAAATAAACTATAAAAATGGGTTTAAAGTTTATCAAAAAGATAAATTTTAGTCTACGAAAAGCCAAGTTGGATCCGAGAGTCGATTACGTGTAGGGAAGGATTAGCACCCCCACAACGCGCATAAATTAGTACCATTTAATTATGCCTTATTTTCGGTATTGGATAAAAATGATTTTTGATTTGAAATTTAATACTAATTCCCTTCGTATTAAAAAATATTTTTGCTAAAATTTTTATTTAAAAATATTGAGAAAATCTTTAAGTTAAAGAATTATCTTAAAATTCTCCAACATCTAGGCAGAATTTGAAATAACTCTTTTCGCTTAAGATTTAACACAACAATCCTTAAAATGAAATAAAAATCTTTATAGAAAATAATTATTACTGACTCTCCAACATCTAGGCAGAGTACCAAGAATTATTTTTTTCGGAATGTTATTTTTATTTTATTTTATAATGTCACAAAAAGATTTTTTTAAAGTATTATTTTTTTTTATTATAAAATATTTTATCATTGAACAGAAAATTAAAGAGAGAATAATACAGTTAATTTTGATGATAACATGCTAACGTATGTATACTAATGAATGTCATGATAAATGAAATGCAATTTAATAGTTGGGTTTAAGTATAATGAGACCACCCCGACTCTCCAGCATCTAGATAGAGCTTAAGTGCGACTGTTTATATTTAAGATCTCAATTTACTATTATATTTTTTATTTATTAATCTTATTATTAATGCGAATTAAGAAATCGTGTGAAAAGACTTAACGAAGCAAAATTTCTTAAATATCCCATCATCTAGGCGGCATTCGGGAACAAATTACTTCAAGTAGAATTTTCACACGTGTCCTTAGGATTTTTTAGGACTTTAGATTTTAGGGATTTTGGATTTTAGGG